TTAGGAACATTTTGGATGCGGTCTCTAGCTATCAATATTCTTTGATTGAAAACTTGTTAGTTTTTAGTTTTTTATTGAGGTCCCTGACATTAATGTAATAATGTAAGTTACTATATTTTTTAAATTAAAAATTAAAAATTGAAATTTGTAATTGTTTATATTAATGAGATTTTAAATAAAACCCATAATTTATGGGATTAAAAATAATAAAATATAAATTATACTCTCTATTATATTGTGTGTGTGTATACATATATGTATGGGTACATTAACCAAAATTAACAAAAAAAGTTATTGTACCAAAACATGGATACATTCTCAAATCAACGAAAAAGAATGTATCCATATAAGTTTAAACATGGATTAAAAAATTTGAATGGATTTTATATTAAAAAAAAAGGTACATTTTACATATAACAAATTGATATATTTGAGAATGGGTACATTTAAGATTAAAAAAATTGAAAAATTATATGAATGGGTACATTTAAGATTAAAAAATTGAGAATCTTTTTATGTATAAAAAAAAACTAATAGGTACAAACTTAATTTTTAATTTTTTATTATTTTGGAAATGTTTGAATTGAAAATTAATTAGAAGTTTAAAAGAGGTGTGAGTATTAAACCCTAAATTAATTACAAATTTTTATATTAAAAAATTATATAATAAACATGTAAATTCATTATCACATTATTGCTAGGGACTTGAATCAAAATTTAAAAACTAATAAGGTCTTAGTCAATGAACAGTAAGAACTAAGGACCGGATACTAATTTTTTCATCTAATAATTAATTAGAACCGAAACAACTCAGTGTGGTGTGGAAAATCTTTGTAAAATTGTTTACCCTCCCCTTCTACCCATTTTTATCACATGCCCATGAAATTTTACCACTACAGTGAAATTTTTATTCTTGTCAGCTGTGCTGTCACTTCAAATAAAACGTAAAATACAATAACATTCAGTTCTTGATGAGAAAGGAAAAGGTCTCCAATTTAATTTACCTTTGGCATAGATCGCTGAACATGGAAAACTATTGTGTCCATCACTTCTATTGCTGAGCTCAATGTCTCTTCTAACTCTGGTAGATTGGCCTGCAAAGTATCTCATGTCAGCGTTACCACTTGAGTAAGAAAGCCCTAAATGAAGCAATACCCTAACATAAGTTAATGATTATACCGTAACACTGCCACTACTTGGAAGTTGAACTGAGGCATTCAACAATGCTTGAGTTGCTTCTGCCAGATAAATTGAATAATCCCCTTGAAGAGAAAACCACTGGTCCAAATATGGAATCTAATATAATATCCAATGAAGTACGTAAGTTCCAAACACCATTCAGTGTATACATATATATAAACACAAGTTAAAATGGAATCTAAGATAACGTAACAGATTTCTTACTGTCGGAAGAAGATAAAAATGCTCAACAAACAGTTTTGTGCTTTGAGCTTTCTATGTAACTGGCAATCTTACTCTCAGAAGATCACGTTCCACTTGGTATTGGAAAATAAAATTGTGATCTCTCACAGCCCATAGCAATATTTCATTACTTGTAAGTTCTTTTCCGCAGCTAAATTTTTCAGAATAACAGTGAACCCGAGAACACAGCTTGAAAACGAGTTTGTAGTTGTAGAAATCATATGTTCTATTGTGAACAGAAGCATTATAGAAGATAAAATAAGCCCAATTCTTCATGGATAATTTTCTCTCACCATGAAAGATTTGGACTCCACTATGTTCTTGACCGCACCTTGAAGGCAGGTTACAAGGCAGGCTGTTTTAGGTCCAACAAGCAATATAAAACTAACAAATTGGTAATCAAGGATAGGCAATATACAATACTGAATGAGATCATCAAGCTAAAAGTGTAAAGCAATCAACAAACGCTGGCAAGTGGCAGCCTTACTTGAGCTTCGAGAATTGTTGATAAAGTCTTTGTTCTTTGCAAAATGCCAAGTTCTATCCGTTTCCTCTTCGCAGAATCATATAGTTCAGCAATCTTTACCGCAAGAGAATAAAGTGTTCTCTACAAGGAAGTGGAGAAAAACATTTAATTCACAAGATAAATAACAACTTATAATTGCACCCATGAATTTGTGACAAAACCCAATAACTGCTAGGCTGTGCAGTTGGTTAAGTTGGGACAATATTGGTGTTTTAGTAGAAGACCATTGTCTTGACTCTGAAATCTTTATATCAGTGAAATAGACTAACCAGGGTTTCTCTCTGCTGAGCTCGCATGGAAGCCTCTGCTCTTGCATTGGCGTATGTCCACTGTAGATAGCGGTTCTGGAGCACTCTCAAGGAATGTACATCTTCCAGATGGCTAGAAATTTTCTTTCCCTTCCTCATATCTGGGCCCGGCTTTACACTAGCACATGGTGGGACTGGAGGAAGGCATAGACCACCCGTCTTCCCTCCGTTTGTATATGTCTTGGAGATAGCCGATGCCAATTTTTCACTGCCTTTGTCTGTCAGGAAGAACGAGCTATCGGAACTTGATAATGACAAGTTAAGAGAACGGGAGCAAGGGGAAGCAGAATACTTTGAAAAATCGCCAGTGGCATTACCCCTGCTGCTACTTTTCTCAACGAGCTGCCTGCTAGAAACGGTTGGCAACAAATCGGCCTCAGGCATGGAAGAACGAATATCAGGAAGACACCGTGCTGTGCTGCTTGGCGTTTGACTATGATTACTGACATCCGGACAAGTGGCCTCAGTAGGTAAAGACATCCCGTTAGACTGCAAGAGCTTAGCAGCAGCTGTGGCAGTTACGTTGGTAGACCGCTGCTGAATGAGGTTGGTAGACCGCTGCTGAATGAGTCTGAACCTCGACATCCTATCTAGATTAGCAGTCGCCACTGGTGTGCCAGGTCTTGAGGGTGTGGTTTTTAGAAGATGCTGCCTCTGCTGTTGCTGCTGGGTTCTGCCTCCTCCTCCTCCGTTCTCTTTCAAAGGCTAGGCGGGACGCTGTTTTCTATAATTAAGCATCTGGTCCGGTGGGAGAGGGGTTTCCCAGATCTGATTCTGAGTGTGAATGGAGGAGGGGCCGGTGGGCCTGTTCTCGTCGGAGCAGCGCAAGGGCTCCAAGTCCAAGTGCCTCCGCCGCCTATTCACAGAGGAAGACCGCTGCCTCGACTGAATTTCGGCCAGGGTCGAGGATGGAGTTAAGATGGTTTGTTGATATTTAGGAAGGGGCGATTTGGCAGGCAAGGGATGAGGGAGATCACCGGTGGAAGCCGCAGGAGACATGAACCTAGAGCTCACCTCCCTCACTCTTGGCCGCCTTTGAGCAGTCGGCGGCGGAGGAGGAAGAGGATGGGGAGGAGCGCAAGCTTCTGCGTCCTCTACGGTGGCAGATGCGCAATTTTCCACGGTCGATTGATCCATAATTCCTCAATAAATGCACAAATAAATCGAGGAAAGCGCTTATGGTTATATATAAGCGAATCTGAGAAGAAATTTGTGAATGTTAAAATTCACCTGGAGTGGAGTCCAAATGAGAATCTCAGGTTGAGCCCTACCTTTTAATGAGCGCTTTCCAATCCTCCAGCCCTCCCCAATCTTTTACCGACCCAGAAGTCTTCAAGCAAATGAGCACAAGAAATAGATAAAAGGAGCTAACGAGGATATATCATATAGTTGTCGTTCACGGTAACTGACCTTAAGACAAATTTATTTTATTTTAATTTTTTTGAAAAAAAAAACTATATAATCTATACTAAGAGGTAGACTTAGCCTCATAATGAACTAGTAATAATAATGTGGTTCAAATTTATCTTTGGCGATAATACAATCTAAGACCTCTCACTTGCAAGTGAAGATAAATAATACTAGACTGTAGTAGTAAGTGGATACAGCATTCTATTTACACGTAAAAAAAATATTACTACCGTTTTATTAAATAGAATTAATTGTAGTAATGGTCTTGAAATTTTATCCCTTTATTAATTTTAGTCCTTGAACTCTTATATTAGTTTCTATAACCCTCAAACTTAATAATATGTTGGAATCACATTTGTCATTTTCACTAACGTCGTATATTTTTTCATTAAATCGAGTGATATATTTAAGAACTTCATCCCACATCCCTAAAAATGAGAAAATAAGAAAGAAAAGAAAAACTTAAAAACAAAGTTTTTTTTATGAGAAAAATGAATACACATGAAATCGCGTTCCGTTTTTATTTCGTCTCTTTATATTTCAATTTCATTTTGTATTAAGTTTTAGTCATTATTTTATAGACTTTTATTTTACTTTTAGTTTCTTCTATTGTTTTTTCAAGTTTAAGGTTAAAGTTTCTAATATATTCTTAAATTTAATGAAGAAATAGATGAAGTTAGTAAAAAGGACCAATGGTGCAACACATTGTTAAATTTGAGAATTAAAGAAACTAATATAAGAGTTCATGATCTAAATTAAACTCAGAGTAAAATTCAAGGACTATTGCTACACTCAAGCCTACTAAACAAATTACAGTTTCTGTGTCATGCTACATGTCCATTGAAGTTTCTGTGCAAAGCCTAAAAGCGAGTTATTCCATTTGAGTTCATCCTCTATATATCTCATTGTCCAAAAACCCAAGGACCTAGAATCTGGACCATTCAAATTGAATCCTATAGTCCTTATTAATCTATTCCGCTAACTTATCTCACACAACAAAACAAGGACCTAGATCTCTCTCTTGAACGGTTCAAATTTCTTGATCTTTGAGCTCCGAACAGTGGGATACAAAGAGGATCTCAATTTGTTCCATTTGTGTACGTCTTGGACATACGAGTAATGTGCCACAAAGACACTTACCCAAGAATGCAGCACTCATTCCTCTAACCACTCTTCTCACTATTTTAGCATCGCATAGTAAATGATATTCTGTTTTAGTAATTTAATTAATTAATCAAGGGTATTAACCTAATTATTTGTTGGAGCCCTCTCAGTAATGTATCACATGAATGAATCGATAATTTCTTAAGTTCTCACTCAAATAAAATCTCAAATGACAAAAAACAAACGATTTGGATCATGAGATTAGAAGGTGGATCTATCAATACATCAGGTGTAGGGGATCAATAACTACAAAAAAATGTTTACTAATATTGTTGGATTTGAGCCTTCATGATTCCATCTATGAAGCCATTTTGATGGCGCAAGTCTATATACAAAGTTGACTTCATCCTCTACCATATTTGTTTCTGAAAACTGAATCATCAAGACTGTTGGCCATGGCCATGGAAACCCCCTCTTGTAGAGCCAGGCATTGGCTCATCTGTTAGGAAAATGAAAACAAAAAAGGAAAACAAATTAAGATAGGGAAATTAAATACTCACTATTCATAAAGTGGAAACGGGGATTCATGTCATTTCTTTCTTACCAAGCTCATCCTCTTCATCACCATTCTGACTTGTAAAGAATGGCGTGAGGTAGTTTCGATCTAAAGCTGTGAATGACGCTGTGCTGCAAGAGAAAAGGGTGGAGGGCAAAACTGGATGCTTAGCAAATAAATAGATAATGAAAGCCAGGTTCCTCTATGAAGGTAGCAACCAAATGGTTACCTCTGATGGAATTCCTTCAGTTTCATCTTGATCCTGTTCCCCGATGATCCTTCGTCATTATAAGATGGTGCAATATAGCCATTGTTCCCTTCGAAACTCTGGGGAAATATATGTACACATATCCAAAATAGTTAGCTTTGATGAGTTGGTAAAATCAGTGATCATGAAAGTAGAATTGTTATCACAATTCACCATGTGACCCATCAATTTAAATAGGATATTAAATGAGCTGGACTCATTAAATGTTGCAAAAGATAATTGTGTAGAATAATAGAGGAGGGACGCTAAACATCTTTGCACATATTTGAAAGGAGATCTTGCACGTAACTTCAGAACATGTCCAAAAGTGCTGGTTTGGCTCCATTTTAACTTTTAAATTTCTGTCTGAGGTAGTCCCAATCAGTCCAATTCTCACCAGAAATCAATGACCATGTATATTAAATACTATATCTGTGTCCCACTCTCATCAAAACCCCTTCAACAGACCTACCTGTTGTTATTCCCAAGGGAGTTTCTAAAGCATAGATATGACAGGGCAGAAACAGAGAGATTCTCTTACAATCTAAAGCTTGCCCTCTATGTCAGGAAGGGGATGCAGGGTCTATTTAAAATTCTGTCAGCCATTAGCTAAACAGAGAACCAACTTCAATAAACCTCTGTCTGATTTTCTCACAGAAACTATGCTACTATATATGCAAGGCACTAGATAACTTGGTGTGAGAGTTGTGGGTTGTGGTTGTAGGTCATGTATCAGAGTCCTAATCTGTCAGCATGGTGTCTACTGTGCCCTGTGACAGGGAAAGGCAACAGCAGGAAAGTAAAGGATCTAAAAACCTTCGTACATATGTGAGATTAGAGACGATAAGCAATCGCTTCTTTGGGATCAAAAGAATGTCCCTACGTAAATAGTAGCCTTGGATGATCAGAATGACCCACATCAGTTCTTATCCTGTGGGGCTAAGGTTACATTACTATAACCAATGTCCAGAAACTTTTTAAGGGATTGTGAACCAAATCCCTACACAAATGCTCCTTCCTTTTCTGAAATAAATAAAGTAGATCCAAGTAGCAAATTTGGCCATCACAAATATGCATCGAACTCTTTTGTTATGGTTCCTAAAATACAAAGAACAAGTAATTATGCATAACATATTTTCGTTTTCTTTTTCTAGAGCTAGAACTTACTTCACCCAAAGTACCCTCAATGCCATCACCTACTACTTGTAAAGCTTCCAGCATGGTACCGGTTGAACCTCCAATTAATAACACCTAAAAAATGGGTCCGAAGGTTACAACTCAGTCAGAAGAACAATATCATATGCATCTCACAAAACAAATATACTTGAATAATATATATTTGTAGATGTTTCATTCATCCAAAAAGAATAAACATCGAATTGGTAATTCCTCGTTCCTGATATGCAAGGTGTCAAATTACCAAGTTTCTCTACGTGTCTGTCCAAGACAACAAATGAGGCTGCAATCAAATAATATGTATATGTTCAAAGCTAGTGCTGCTAGCATTGCCATTTAACATTTTTTTTTCAAACACATGGCTTTCCAATTTGTTCACAAGGCAGGTCTTCATAACAAATTTCAGTTAGTCAAAATAAAATTGTCTATTCCAGACAAGTCAGTAATTTTTTTGGCATAAGCAAAGGTATTGATGCAGAATAATTTTTTAGCAATTTTTTTTTAATTTAGTTTCCTATTTGATTTCTTAGTTTCCATTACTTATTATTGTCCAGTTTGTAGTAGGATTAATATTACATTTCTATTTCTAGTAAGGTTAGGATTACTTTCCTCTTTATAATATGTTCTTTGAAATTCGATAGAGTATAGTTGGTTGATTTAACGAAATTATCTCTCCTTGAATTATCTTTTGCCACTCTGTTTCTTTGATTACTTTCCTCTTTATAAAGAACAATAATATTGTTACCAGCTTTTTAATTTCGTAAAATAGTTATTGGTATCATTAGAAAAGTTCAAGGGCATGGGATGCAATATATTGACGAAGTGCTGAATTCAGATTCAATTCATGACTAGTATTTTAACAAAGGGCAAGATGATGTATTACTCTACAAATATCCATCACGTAAAATATGTCCTCAATATTCACCAGACATTTGGAAGAAGATTCTAAATTGATGACAAGGATCAGTTTGTGTACCGTCAGAACCACTATGGCAGTGGTTGCAGTGAATATAGTCTGGCCGTGTCCTTCTGGGAGATCATGAACTGATTGCAGAGCGAGGGCAAATGCCATGGCCCCTCGAAGTCCTACTCAATCCCATAATGCATTATGAATATCATAAGTGAATAAATTCAGAATGATCAGCAAGTTTATGCTCTTCTTACCACCGTACCAAAGTGCCTTCTGGTGTTTTAAAGGTATCTGTCTGTGTGCAGGTCGAACCAAGTTAACCAAATACACACAAGAAAAAACATTAGCTGCCCTGCACAAATCATTTGGCAAACTGATTTAAGAGTTTTCATACCAAAACACAGCGATTTATACAAAATGGAAAATGAAGCAACAGATGCATAGAAATTAAAAGACTACTAAAATAAGATTGTGACCAAAGTCTCATCACAGATAACATAAAGGAAGCATACCTTGCAACTACAATAAATATCTGAGGCAATCATGCACGAAGTTAAGGAACAATAGGAAGTTTCAGTTGCTAAAGTCTCACAGAACTTTTAACTTTAGACTACTAATTCAAAGGATACAATTGAAAAAAAAATGAACCCCACATGCGACCAGCTATGTTGTTCCATGGCAATATCAAAGCCCATGTATATAAACCTGAACATTAAGGTTTTTCATTTCAAAACAAGCGTGGGGTGTCATGTGTAAAGAACAGCTTAAATACTTGTTATGTAATAAAGACAATGAAGAGATCACTTACACAAATGTCTCCGCTAGTGATGATATCAAATGGAAAAAGGAAGAAGCAAATCTTTGAGAGTTTTCTGATAAATTTGAATACGTGTAATGCTTCATGACTTAAAACAGAACACCAGTTTGTCCATGACACAGCTTTACCGTAGGATATATTAAAAAGAAAAAAAATTCAGTTCTTCCACTTACCATTCCTGTGAACAATATTGATACAATACCAGACAGGCCAAGACCTTCCGCAAGCATGTAACTAGACAGAAGATAGTTCTACATCATTTTGCATATAAGGAGAAAGCCTTGAAACTAATTTACATAATATGAAAAAGGGTCAAGAAGATCACTTACGAGAAATATGGAAAGAGGACAAAAAGACAGCACTCCAAGTTTTGTAGACTGAAAGGATAACAAGACAACTGTGTTATTTCTACCGTAGTTGTAACCATACAAAGGTTGGCAAAGAATGGTAGAAACTAGAAAAGCATCACTCACTTGTCAATATCCAACCCTGCATACTTAAAAAGGTTTTCACAATTAGGGTTTCACAATAAAATCTACCACCAGAAGCCTTTTTTATTTTATGGAATCAACAAAAGATTTTCAAAACATAATGGAAAATTATTACTTGATAAAAAAGGATATTAAAGCAGATGTAAACCCAACTCCAACACCTGTAAAGCAACACACAATGTATGTTAGTAGCTGAGAAAACAAAATGCAGCAGTAATTCAACATCTAGATAAATAAAGCATGTGCTGCTCTCGTAATTTCTGAGGGCAAAGAAAAAAAGGAGTCATTGCTGTTAAGTGACGATTATATAACTGAGACTCATAGGTTTACTTTACTAACGAGTTACAACAGAGCAGTTGCAGTACAGTATAAGAGGTTTAGTAGGATACCACAACAAATTATTTCCAGGAGATATGTAAAACCTGTTACATAACTCAAATATGGGTGTTGGCAAACTCTCTCTACCCTAACATCCCCCTACCCTTGCTATGACTTATCCTGCTTATACCCTATCACAGCACTTGACATCACAGAACTTAACACTTCTAGACTGGAAAATCATGAATGTCTTTCCAAATATATCAAACACAGGTGATAAGATACATTTTCAGATGAAGCAAAAATATATTATTATTACTAGAACATTTGCTTTTGATACGTACAAAATCAAGTGCAAATCAAGTACTTCATTAGTTGACTGTAAGACAGATATATATTGACCTGCAGACAAGGAACCCACAAAGGTCTCAAGAAACCTGACAACAACCATGAAGAAGTTCTCTCCAGATGTTGCGTGACTTCTTACTAAGGACATTGTCCTGCATAGCAGAACACCAGTTTAATTAGAACTGAAATTCGCACAATATTCTAAAATATAGGTACAATAACAATTTACTCTACATACCTGTACAAGGAAATTGCCATCTGTTGATTGGCGGGCATACAATCCAACAATTTCATAACGTACACAAGGTCAATCTTTAGATAAAAGAAGTACACATCAAGAACATGGATCATAAACAAATAACAATAAAAACATACGACATCATTCAAAACAGATTCTCCAAACACCAGAGCATACAGGTTCATATCTGTGCCAAGTTCCTGCAATAAAGGACCATCACAAAAAACTACATTAGTGCTGAAAAATTTAGATAACAATATGACTGATTGCAATTTGACAAGCTATATTGGTGTTTTATTTGTCGTTTTGGGTGGAGTGCGGGGGAAGGGGAGGATCCAGACATTTTTGGTTAAGGCATCTTCAATAATGTTTCCATGATATTTCTTGATCCTGGAAACGATTCAATAATGTTTCACTTTCATGTTTGGTTGTGTAACTTGAGTTCACCGAAGTAAACTCTACCATGGAATATTGTGAAAATTTAAATAGACCAGATAACCACCTGAAAGATGGACAAGACGGTGACTGGATCAGTTGCTGATATAAGTGCACCAAACATCAAGCACTCCACAAATGGAAGTCTGTAGGTGAGGTATATTAGACCACCAAGGTAACTGCAATAGGAAAAGGAACCGATTGATCTACCTTAGACGTATGGGGTAAAAAAAACTGTAATATTCTGAAAAGATTTTGTGAATGGAAAGTGGAAACAAAAACTTACACTAGAATACCAGTAACAACGGAAGCTATAAAGGTTCCTAGGATAGCAAAGGTGACAATGGCTCCAAAGTTGGAGAAGAAAGGCTTCTGCGAAGAAGGGGACAATAACAGTAAATAAGATTAAAAGGAGATGGGTTGCAAGGCAAAAGGCAAACACGCATGTTATCTCGGAGCTACAAATAATTATTCAGAAAACTTACAGGTGAGAGACTGAAGCCCGACTGAGTGAGCGCAAAAAGCGTCAAGGAAAACAGCATGTACTATGTAGTAGCCTATCAAGGTAAACTGAAGCAAGAAATGAAATACTTGAAGACAAAAAATAATAGAAATAGGGAAACAGTTTGGATATAATATGATAGGAGGTAAGAGGAATAGGAAGAAAAATTCCTCATGGAAGTTAAACCAGGCCCTGAAACAAAGAAGGAACAGAAAGGGGAAGAAATAATTGTTAATTAAATTGTTGAATTGAATTTGAATTGAATTCCCTCTTTGTATAATATTGGTATTGGTATTGGGCCCATTGGCAGGGCATATAGAAGGAGGGACCTGACCTGATGCTATTTTCCGTATTAGAAATGCTAGCAAGTCCACCTACAATTAAGCCTGAAAATAAAATAGTACAAAGGATGGGTCAGTCAAGGCCAAACCCTAATCGATCAATCGCAACGAGACGATGGAAAAATAGGGAAAAAAAAGGACTAGGAGAAATACTATACCAATTAAAAGAGAAGCGCTGGCCTCAGGAAGATAGTAGAATTTGTGGCGGCGAAGGACATGGCCAAGGACGAAAGAGAGGACAAGCATCATGATCTGGAGAAGAATGCCAACCCCAGCGGCCTGCTGCTCCTTCCCTGGAGTGGTCCCATTGGCATCCGCCGGAGATATCTGGATCGCCATTAGTTGGTGTTCATCCTCCATCGCCATTAGCTGTCCTGCTGCTGCTCAACTTCTTCACGAAACACCCCTGTACGGCTGTGCCGTGAAACTCAGTAAACTCAAAATTTGGGCCCAACTAAAATATGATAAAGGTAAATTACAACGTCTTTAAAATATTTTAAAAATATTTTAATTTCATTCAATTACTTATTTTTCATTTCAAAGTCATAAGTTAAAAAAAATGTTAAATAATAAACGAATAAAGAATAAAAAGTTTTATTAATTAATTTAGTACCCTTTAAATCTTTTTTATATATTTTAAATAAAATAATAAAATAATAATTAAATATTTTGGCCCATGTTACATGGGATAACAGCCACGTCAACAAAAATATGGTACCCAGGGTGGGCACTTGAAACCGAAAACCGAAACCGAAACACGAATCAAATCGAACCGCACCGAATGGTTCGGTTTTGCGGTTTTGAAATCGAACCACAAAGTAGGAAACAATTTGGTTTCAATTTTGGCTTTTGAAAACTACATCGAAACCAAAACTGCACCTCAAATTAAATGTCATTTTTATATGGTTGTTTGTTAGAGTCTATATGGTTAGTATTAGACTCAACCACTAGAATGTCATTCCTTCCACCCCTATTCTATTCAACAATTATCACATATCTATGCAGCCTTTTGAAGAGATAGAGCTATCTTGCATTTCTTTAGGAAACTAAATAGTAGATTAACAAAATCATCCCCAGCTTCTCCATAACAAACCATGTTCCTAGATTTGATAACTATAAGCTTTCGAAGAGATAGAGCTATCTTGCATTTCTGTAGGAAACTAAATAGTAGATTAACAAAATCAACCCCAGCTTCTCCATAACAAACCATGTTCCTAGATTTGAAAACCATAAGCTTATCAGTAGATAGTGCAAATTAACACTTGCATTAGGATTAACATGTAATTTTATTGGTGCAAATTTGCATACAACGTTTTTGGTATTTTACCATGTTAGTAATTAACATTTAAAG